ATTTTTTTTTTTTTTTTTTTTTTTTTTTTCTTTTTTCTTTCTAATTTTTTTCTTTCTTTTTCTTTTGATTATACCAAAAAAAATTTTATTTTTAATTACAATTCTTATATCTATTCAATTTAAAAAAAAGAAAAGAAGAAAAATTAATTAGTATATAAATATTTTTTTGAAAAATATTAAAAAAAATAATATTTTTTCTAAAATAAAAAAATATATAAACAAAATTTTTTACATGCATATATACATATGTTGTTAAAAATAAATATTATTCTAAAATATCAAAAATTTATGCAAACAAATATAATAATATTCTTTTATTATAATGTAGAATATTAAAAAAGTAGCAGAATTTTATTTTCAAATAAATTCTTATATATATATAAATATATATATATATATATATATATTTTTTGAGAATACATGAAAAAAAAATTTAGACAATACCAAAACATGTGTAAATCATATTTTTAAAAACCAGAAAAATTCACAAAATTATTAATATAAAAAAATAATATAAAATAAAAATATGAAATAAACAACAATAAATATAAACAAGTAAATATTTAACAATTCAAATCAATTTAACAAAAAAAAAAAAAAAAAAAAAAAAAAAAAAAAAAATTTATATAATTTTAATTTAGCATCGTACTATCGAACCAAAATGTCAGAAAAAATCTAATTATTTTTTTTTTTTAATAATAATTTCTCATCACAAAAAAAAAAAAAAAAAGTATTTAAGTTATATATATTTACATACTTAACTATCATTTATATTTATGTGAAATATGAATTTTAAAAATATAATTAAATATATTTTTATCTACACAATTTTTTTTTTTCTTATTTCTTAATATAATGTTACTTCTTTTATGAATAAAAACATAATCTTAATGAAGATAAATAAAAATAATATATTCTATATAGAAAAATATGAGTATTATACTAATAGCTTCATATATATAGAGATAGAGAGATGGATAGATATGGATATATATATAAATAGATATAAATATTTAGATATATATAAATACATATAATTATTATGTTGTATTATAGATAAATAACACTTTTGTTTATCTACGAATTTTTCTCTTTTTGATTTTCTACTTCTATATGTAAAAATTTAAAAAAGAAATTTTTCTTAAACTATGAAAATACATAAATGCAAATGATATGTTATGTAAATACACATATATACACATATATATATATGTTAATTTGTAAAATAAAATAATATATTTTATATTAATTAGAACTATTATTGTTCTTATATGATAATAACAATAATTAGTAAAAAATCATATAACATATGTACATAAATATATGCACCTTATATAGTTCTATAGAAAAAATTAAAAATTATGGGATAAAAAAAAAAAAAAGGATATATATAAGAATAATAAATAATTTAATTTTTTTTGTTACTTTAGCTTATATAAAATATGTAATATTTTATATAAACATAAGCAAAAACTTTTGAAAACTTTCATGCATCATTATTTTTGTATACAAAAAAGAAATGCTTAAACATTTAGTTTTTTATAAACATATTTTAGTTAACATATAACTAAAAAAAAAAAAAAATAAAAAAAATAAAAAAACTAAAATATAAAAATATGTATGTCAAATGTATATTGAGATATATAAAAAAAAAAAAAAAAAAA